AGCACAAGGCATAGCCACCACCCCAACCCACAACAACTACACTAACCCACAACCCACTGCTATCTTTGTCTTTAACCCACTTTTGCCACGCAACCACACAACCTACAGCACAAACCAAAGCCACCACACACCCACAACACAACCACATATGCACAGCCAACCACCAAAACTGAGGGCCATCACACCACATCCCATAGCAGAACCACCGCAGCCAACAAGCACGACCAACACAATATCCACAATAAGGAGCATCACCCCGATAAAAAAATTTTCACACCAATGTAAAAGCGCAAAGAGAACTACCATTCAAAAATCAATCGAAACCAGCAAGAGAAGAACCAATCACAAGATCATAATCACAGAAATAAGTTTGAAGAGAATACCACAGAGAAGATTGATCAAGAGAGAAGAGAGGGAAAGTTGGTCGCGAGAGAGGGCTTGGAGGGAGAAGGGCGCAGTAGCGAGAGAAGATGGGAGAAAATCGATCGTGAGAGAGGGCCCGAGGGCGAGAAGAGGATATGGTAGTAAAAATAAGCAGTAGAGTGTAATAGGATGCGGGCCAAGGTGTCAAACCCGCGGCCCACATTCTGCTGAAAGTATCTAGAACTTCATCAAAACGCAACAACCAAATGAAAAAAAAAATAAATTGCTGATTGGGGTCGCGCCAAGCAGGATACGCGGCCCAAAACAAACCCTTGGTTGTGGAAGAGGGAAAATACACCTGTTATTGTTTTTTAAGCTTTATGCATTACATTCAAACAAATAGGGTGACTGCCATTGATATAAAGTAATGATGGAAGAAGTGGATAGATTTCAACACTTTCTCCAATTTTCTTCCTCATATGATGGAGGTAAAAGACGCTAATAATGTTCTTTGAACTTTATAAGCATTGCATTCAAACATTGGGGGAAAGTGGTAGGAATAAACTATTGAAGTTGTAGTGGAGAATGACCAAAATGACAATGAAATTGATATTGAATAATGTTGAAAGAGAAGGTGGATGGGATCTCAAGGGTTAATAGTAGATTTCATTAGCTTAAATACTTTCACCAATTCTTCCTTATATTGAGATCTTGAAACACACATTGAAAGAATAGATAATTATCAACTACTTTTGAGCTCAACTAACATACAAAAAAATTGCTAACATATTATGCATATAGAGGAGATGAGCACCTTGAGAGAGATTTAAGCCTTTATTAGACATAGGGGAGGGGCAATCATCAACAACTATAATAAGTTAGAGAGAGGGCATGTCAAGGGAGACAACAAGTGGCAACTACCTCTCATCTATGAAGAGGCATTGGTAGCAACAATTATAAAATTAAAAGAGGAAACATCATAAGAAACTTACATGATTATTCGAGAGTGTTGAGCAAGATGATCATAATCCTTCTGAAATAATGGTTGATCCAAAAAGCTAGAGGGAAGCTTGAGGAATGCTTGAAAGTGGAGGGATATCTAAAATTAGCATGCTCCTAAGGGATGCTTAGTACAATTCCAATCATATCAAGGAGAAAATGCTTTTCCTATATGACCTCGGCTTGTATAAATCTTGCCGCCCTAACCATATCTTTTAGTAAGAGCAAATTGATAAGAAACTAGCACAAAACATGATGAAAGCTCAATGATACTGGAGGAAACCCAAACCAAAATGAAAGAAATATTTTTGCTGAAATTGAAAGAATTACAAACACGATGCTTGAAAATATGAAATAACGACAACAAAATAACAACACCAACATAAAGATAAAATGTCTCGTTGGAGTCGAGATACAGTCAGAACCCCACCCGAACCCTTGGAGATTGTCATCACCTCGGAAGAGTTACAGTCGGAGCACTTTATCACTGTAGGGTACAACCCCCATAGGGGAAGAACGCTTCAAAGGCAAAACTCAGAATTCTCTACTTATCGAAAAACCTTCTTTCCTAAGCAAAAACATCCCCTATATATAGGAGGGATTAGGACTTATATTGGGCAATGCTTTCAATTAGGAAAATAGAATAAAAATGATGTAATATAATAACAAGTATTTATAACAGGGGATTTCATGGAAAATGAAATAAATATTAGGAGAAAAAGAAAGAAAAGGAAGGAAAAGCGTTTAGACAACGGTTACAGCAGCTGCTAAAGTAACGTGTCCGCGACACTATAGCAGCTACAGTGCCGCGATCTGGGGAAGCTCCTGCATCAACCTAACGAGATTAGGGAGCTTCGATTTCATCCATCAAAGCTTTTAGGGCAGAAAAATTTTGATGGGGGCGGCTTGATTAGGGGCTGATGCTAGAGACCCTAGGATAGGACTAGGGCTGGGCTAGCTCTGATAGCAGATGATACTGGAGGAAAACCAAATCATAAAGAAAGACGAAATATTTATTGAAATTGAAAGGATTACAGTCATAAAGATAAAATCTCTTGTTGGGGTCGAGCTACAGCCGGAGCTCCACCCGAACTGTTGGAGATGGTCACCACTTCAGACGAGTGACAGCTAGAGCACGTTCTTGTTGTAGCCCCCAAAGAGGAAGAACACCTCAAAGACAAAACTCAAAAGTCTCCAGTTATCGAGAAACCTCATTTCGTAAGCAAAAATAGCCCCTATATATAAGAGGGATTAATACTTATATTAGACAATGCTTTCAATTAGCAAATAGAATAAAAATGAAGTAATATAATATGTAAGAATTTATAGTAGGAGCTTTCACAGAAAAGGAAAGAAATGTTAGAAGGGGAAAGGAAAGAAATGTGGGGTGAAGGGTTTGGACCACAGTTACTATAGCTGCTATAATAACGCATCCGCGGCACTCCACAATTCGGGAAAGCTTTTGCGCCACTCAATGACCTAAAGAAGTCGAAAAGAACATTGGCAAGTGGAGCTGAATGACTGGACTTATTGGAGGGAGGGATTAAGTCCTTTAGAAATTTCGTAAAAAAAACTTCATATTGTTTTTTTAATACAATAATTTTTTGATGGTAAATGTTATGCGTTGAAAAAATTCATATGATTTTCATAGCTAGTGTTAATTAATAGGCAAATTTATTATTGAAGAGATTTAAAAATGCATTGTCAAGACATGAATTTTTTATTTTCCTAAAAGAAAAATGTTGGAAGGAAGAATGTCCCAAATCTTCTTTAATGTGTCTTGGAGTTTAATTTAGATAGTAGATAACTCGAGACTTTTTACTCTCTTGGTGAGGATAACTTAGCCAAGAGCTTGTCTTTCAGAAAATTTGAGGAAACATATTTATACGTTTACATTTTTCATGAGAAACACTAGTAAATGGATATCTCTTGACTGCAGGAGAAAGTATCTTTGGTTGGGGCAAGTTTCGACTCAGTGGGAGGAAATTAAAATTTCATGTCTCTATTAGGAAGGAGGCAGAGAGAATATAAAGAGGAACTCAAATTATTGAAGGTGAAAACCAAAAAGATTGGGCTATAAGGGCAAGTAGAAGCAGATGCTTGGAGCACACGTGACAATGGTAAGTATTGATGGATCGTTGTAGATAAAACACAATGTGGGTGTGATGAGTGTGGCTCAAAATAATGAAATTAGAAGCATTAGCATGGGCACAAATAAAGCATGATAGCAGATGGGCAAATTGGGCGGCAGGACGCACAATCATGAGTGCAAATGAGCCGGTGAGATACGTGCTCAAATGAGCGAGCGTGGGCAGGGAGGGTCATGACACTACGAGTAGTGGTCTGGTTATCATCCTAGATGGGTTTTATTAAATGAGAGGGAGGGATGGTGGGGGAATGATAGCTAGGGTTAGGATTAAGCTTGCTTTAAGATAGAGAATATCCTCCATTACGAGCTTATAAAACATGAATAGAACCATATCTGCTTCTAAGCAATGTCTCTTTATTACTATTTCTAATATATTACTTTTAATCACTGGAAAAGTTGGCTTTGGACTGGTGTCTGATCTTCTTTATTAAGCTCTCTATAATAAAACTTCCTTGGATATTGAACGAAATTACTATATACAACTTTTACCTTAATTGGCATTTAATCCATGTCTTGTTTTCTGGTTTTTTTGTGCAAGCTCTGCCACAATTAACCTTTAAAGAATTAAAAATACTGTATAGATATACTTGGTTTAAAAATCAAAATAAAAATAGTGGAAGCTTGAAGATGAGCCTAGCAAAACGTAGTCTTTAACTATAGTGCTCATTCAGTTACGATAATCTTGAATGGTCCCATTTTTATATCCTCTTAAGATGTGATTTACCTATTAGTAAATCATGTAAATTTTGAAGTAAAAAAGGATAGAGCTGAAAGTTAAAACGTCTTTATATGCTTCATTTTATGTAATTTAAATCGAATAATGACATGCAAGCTTAGCATAATCTGTATATCATAGTAATCATATTTATAGAGTATCCATCCTTTCTGTTGCATACAAGTTACCTGAGTGCATAGGAAACGGAAAACCTAAATTATATCCCAGCTGATGGCCGAAGCCATGAATACATTGTTAATTTGAAATTTCACTTTCCAAAAAAAAAAAAGGAAGGAAATGCATCTTTTTTACTTTTTACTATACAATGAAGAATCTGAATTTTGCGTTCTTCCTCAGTTTTGCATAATGGTTAGGCACCGGGACTTTTTTGAGCTACCAATGGTCCTTTTATGAAATTGAGGAGATATTATCATAGCTTCCCTTTGATCTAAGGGTTCCTAAGGTATCTAAAACCCCACGTAAACAAGCATTCAAATATTTGTACCACACTCATTCATGAGAGTAGCAAAATCCCTGTCCGTCAAGTTGCGAGAAAAGAGTTAAGTAATCTCAAGCATCACTAGCAACCCACAATGTTTGCTTAAACACGCCTTATTCCAAGGGTTAGGGTATTCAGGTTACAAAGCTATGAAGGAGCCAATGCATTGAGATGATGTTTCTGATTTGGGAGAATCTTTAATGTGTTACATCTTTATAATGTGCTGTCTCTAGCAGTCATAAATTTTCATTAACTGGACTGCTCTGTTTTTGCAGGTTATGTAGGTCTGGCAACAATAGCTGGTTTCATTTGGTGGTTTGTTTATTACGACGCTGGTCCCAAGTTGCCATATAATGAATTGGTAAGATGTATGCTATCATTTTTTTTTTGCATGCTAATTTTTTAGTGCAAAAATGTTCATCAAGGTAATAAGGAAGTCTATGCTCCATAACAATTTATTGTCAATATCCATTGTAAGTTGATATATATATATATATATAATTTGTTGGTCGGCCACCATCGCTAGTGCTGACTGGCTCAGTTGATTAGCCAAACATCTAGTTAGCCAACCTCAACCGAGCATTACCATCCATGCATGCTAGGAGACGAAAAAATAACTCCAAATCCCTTCTTTTTTGCTTATGGTTTGGAGAAGATGAATAACAACTATAACTAGGGCTATAAGTGAACCAATGCACTCGATGAACAACTCGAACTTGGAGGTTAAATGAACTAAACATGAATATCTTTTAACTTATTTATTTATATTCATGAATAAAGTTCATTTATTGTTCAATAAGTAATTTGTTAAATGATTGATATTAAGCTCAATGATAACTCACATGATATAGGATATATTATTTTAATAAATTTGATTAACTATAACTTATATAATGGTAAATTTAATAGTAATATATTATTATATCAATAATATTTTAGTATTATTTATTAATTATGTATTTATTTATTAATATTTATTTAATAATTAACATATTTTAATAATTAATACACATTATCCAACATATTCTATCAATCATAATTTACAATATTGTTTAATTAATCATTATATAAATATATGATATATATTAATTAATCTTATAAATCACATTAATTATATAGTATTATATATCTTTAATCTTTTTTCTTATTTATGGATTACACTTCCCTTAGTTTTTAGCTGCAAACTCTCATTTCTTCTAATTGTTTTGCATTGTTCATACTTTTTTTTTCTTGTTCACAATTCCATGAAATCTCTTTGGTTCTTGAATTAATGCTCCTGTGTATATCATAAGACGAACTACCTCCTTGAAGTACAAGTCTGCATTACGTGATGTGTTTATTGTCTTGTAACAAGGAACAAAATGTATCATCTTGGAGAAACAACCTACCATAATCATGACAGTTGTCTCATTGTATCTGAGACAACTCTACTAAAAAATTTATGTTCACGTCCATCCTAAGCTATTATGATCTTGACAAACAAACATTATTCCAAAGTCTATTTTGGTAGAATAAATAACCATTTTTTCTAGCACAATTAAAGTTGGAGTTGAATTCAGGCTAGTATTTTCACGAATCAAAGTTCTAACCATAAATTATGTAAAATATTTTTACAACTTCTCATAATTGGCTGGCCACATATCTTAGGTAAGTTTGACAAAAAAAAAAAAAAAACTAGAATAAGTTCTATAACACGTTGAATCTCTCTCAGTGGTAACTACCTATGAGATAAATTGTCATTTTGGAGAAACAGTCTACCATAATCATGACAATGATTGTCTTATTGTATCTGAGGCAGCTCTATTATAAAATTTATGCTCATGTCTTTCCTAAACAACTATGAAATACATAAGTTAATCCAAAGTTTATTTTGCTAGAATTAATAGTCATATTTTTCTAGCACAATTAAAGTTCGAGTTGCATACGGGGTAGTATTTTCATGAATCAAAGCTCTAATCATCAAGTATGTAACATATTTTTACAACTTATAATCTTTTGACTGCATATCCTAGGCAAGTTTGACAAAAAAATTCTATAATAAGGTCTATAACATGTTGAATCTCTCTCGGTGGTAGCTACCCACAAGATAAATTGTCAATTAGGACATCCAACAACTCCCTCAATAGGGCTTGCCCTTTTCTTGATATTGTTTCTTAGATTCATTATATTCTAGAGCAACCAATGCAAGTCTTGTTGGCGCCACTCCCATGGCCTTAGCTTGAAGGGTGTGTCAAATCACTAGCATCTCTCCTTTGGTGGTTGGAAGCCGGTACTTCTCCTTTGCGTCATCCCCTTCTCCTATACTCTTATTGCCTGATCCATTGGATGAACCCTTCTTAAAGGGTGGTGTGGATCTGGTACTACTGTGTTGTCTCTTCACCTTCAAGGTTAAGGCCTGGAAATCTTGTAATATCCAATATGGTTGTAATTATACCACGCTGCTAATAAACGGTTCTAATTTTCCTAGATATTGAGCTATGATGTTCTCTTCAGGCTTCATTACTTCAAACTTTAACATAAGCTACTTCGAACTCAGTTGTGTATTGTTCAATTGAAAGATCTTTTTGTCATAAGTGATGAAGTCTCAAGAACATAAATAACCTGTTTGTAATGTGTTGGTTGGTACTTGTGTTACATCTCCCTTTTTATCTTAGACTAGATAGTGATTTTGTTTTTTTTCCTCGCGTTGGCCTAGAGGTTTCAAAATTTTCTACCATAAAGTTGCATTTATCTTTAGATTATGGTGTTTAGCAATACTTTTAATGTACTTGTACTCAAAGATTTGTTCTATTGTTTGGAGCCATTCGATAAACTCTTTCAAATCCATGTGACTTTCAAAGTCTAGTAATTCTACATTTTCTCCAAAATTCTAGCTTCTTCTCTGATATTCCATACTACATCACCTCAGTATTGTTTTTCATTTTTGGAAACTTCTTGATGGAAGGTTTATTTTCTTTTCTCGATTTGTTAAATTATTGTTGCGGTTATGGGTGATCTTTTTGTGTTGTTTCCTCTCAAATACGACAAGTATTTGTTGCATTTGGAGGATTTTTCGCTGCATTTTCTCCATAGTGATCCTTTGCACACCACATTGAGAGTTTATCCTTGGTGGCATTGTGTCTTTTATCTCAATCAGGGTTTTGGCAAGTGTTGAGTTGTAAATCACAGGTTATGGTTTTGGTGGCAGGTATCGGGTGGATTTTTGGTGGAGATAGGAAAGTTGGCTTTTGAAAATTTAGTGTTAGGGCTAGCAATTGTTAGGGAATTGAGTTGGTCAAATATTAAGGTATGTAAATTTTTGGCTTAGGCATTGGAATGACAAATCCCTAAAATTTCCGGGATTGTTGAGTTCTGATACCTGATAACACTATTTTAGGACTCCTAGAAGGTATTCAAGACACAGACCTAGTGGGATGTGGTCGTTGAATAGCGGGAGAATGATAATATGCTGTTTCGTCGGTGTTTAGATTGAGATAGACATCGTTTGACTGCTGTCCAGGCTGTGAAAACAGCTGAGGAAATCATGAAACAATGATGTACAAACGGTGAGGAGGTTCAACGTATGTTCCTGAACAAGCTACAGACACTTTGTTAAAGGAATATGATAAAAGACTTCCTAGGATGGAAGAGAATACAATCTCTTAACACACACAAAACTAAGGTAGCTGGCTGTAAAGTTAGAATACAACTTATATATAAGTTCCCTGGTAAAATGTACGAGATAAAACATTTTCAGGACCTTTGCTTGTGATGAGTCTTGTCTATGAGCATATGAGGTTAAATCATATAGACAATTTTTTATGCCGTGTCGCCAGAGCAAGAAAACCCACCTTGTTAACCGATAGACCTCATACAAATCATGCAATGATGAATGCCTTTTTTCGTTTGAGTAGCAGTATTCAGCATTCTTTAGGGAAGGAAGAGCTTCTCTACTCCTCTTAGTATTCTGCCAAATCAGACACCATGAATTTTGATCCTTTTCCGGCTGATGCTTTTCTGATCATCATAATACAACTTTTGTCATGTCTCCTAGCCACTCGTTATATGAACATTGAGAAAGGATAATATGGAGGTGATCATAGATCACATCTTGAGCCACAAGTGGTAGGTTGTCGCATCACTTTAAGACAACTAGAGCTATTGATAACACTAAAAAGGACAGGCATAATGCAATTGATGGTTGGTTTTAGATAGATGATGTTGTCGATGGCTTCTACATTCCAGAGAAATTATTTGATTTATTTAATATGTACATTTTGATCTCCTTCCACTTTCATATTCTTCTTCTTTTGACTACTTTGCTGTTTAGTCCATTTTTTTGTGTGAATACTTGTCTTATATTTGTTTAATTTTTCTTCCATCTTAATGTTCAGGTTAATTTTGATACCTGCTCGACAAGAGAGACATCATATCCATGTAGTATATTTGTAAATCGGCATCCATCAACTGTTTCAATGACTGTGCTTGTTGTTGTAGAGATGTTCAATGCCTTGAATAACCTCAGTGAAAATCAGTCGCTCCTGTATGGTTTGATTTTCTTACCACTTTCATATTACGATCTAGCATTACTTATAAATTAGTGACATACTACAGTATATCTTATTAGTGTTTTAGTTATCTCGAAGTTGAAGTCCAGCATATTCTTGATTTGTTTAGTGTTATATCATTGTATTTCAAACTATGGGGAATTAATTACTTTAGTTCATACATATTTTCTGCTTAGCGTTTTAGATGTTCGCTTTAGATGTTCATGCCTGTCAGTATGCTTGGAATACTTGAAAATATAATTATGTGGTTGCCTGTCCTTGTATATTCTAATCTTAATTCGTTTGCGCAATACATACTATGTATCGGTTGTCTTGAAGAACTTTCTATAATACAGTCAATCTACCATTATCTTTCAAAATGATATAATATAGACTAATATATGTTTGCAAAGGTTGTTTTGGCTTTCTTTCTCAGTGGCTGAACTTAGATTTCAATTAGGAGGGCAAAAAGATATAATCATAATTTATGGGGTTAAATCTTTTATGATATGCACAATTGCAAGAGAATTCAATAGTGTAGCGTTCATGTCATACCTAATTTCATAGTGTTCTGTCAAATCTAGAGGGCAAGAGTTACCTCTAGTCTCTTGGTTACATCACAGTTGCCACTAGCATGCTTATTGTAGACTTTCAATAAATAAACTTTTATTACCATGGACTGTACCTTTGATTATGAAAAAAAGCCAAAATCGTTCTTTGAACAATGCTTATGTTTTTTTTTTCCCTCCAGTGTCATTCGTCCCTGGAGCAATCCCTGGCTTGTTTGTTCTATAGCACTAACTATGTTTCTTCATTTACTAATCTTGTACATTGAACCTCTATCCATCCTTTTCTCTGTAAGTCGCTTTTCCATGTACTAATTCTTCATTTGTAAAGTTTTTATTTTCAATAATTTTGTATAATAATTAAGTTTTCATTTTCACAGGTAGTTCCATTATCATGGACCGAGTGGAAAGTTGTCCTGTATCTCTCGTTCCCTGTTAGTTTATCTCTGCACTCTTATTTGCTTCAATAGTTCATACTTTGCCACAGTTGCATTTTGTCTCAAAGATCATGTCTTGAAAGATGGTCGTCTAATATTTTGAAATAGTGATCAAGAGGTTACTATTTGCTGGCAGGAGATATAATCATATTTTTTTGAATGCTGCTGCTTTCTGAAGAATTTATGCACTGGAATCATGACATATATTTCATATTATATATTCATACCAGTTTTCTAGAACCGATTATCACATTATCATGTTTTATTTACGTCTATCTTACATATGTTTTACCAGTATACTTGTTGCTTAATTTTATGTGAAACTCTATAGTTATTGTGATATATTTGTTGCATAACTTTAGGTTCTGATAATTGATGAGCTTTTGAAGTTCTTCTCGAGAAAATCTAGAGGTTAGACGGATCTCTTCTCCCTTCAATTAAATTTGATACATCAAGCCCCCATTAATTCTCAGTGGCATTGTTTGTTCGTTATCCTGAAATGTAAATTCATTACATAGTAATTAATATACTTTAATAGGTATCCATTATCTACTAATAGAATTGAAGCCTAAGGAAAGTGCAATTTTCTCCCAACTTTCCCCTTCATTATGGACAATAATAACCTCATTACACAACCTGATGATATTATATTTCTGGTATATTTGCAGGTAGGATTTTCAATTTTAGGTTCAGAAGAGCTGACTTGCTTCCCAAGAGAGAAGAGCATGACAAATAAGCTAAATAGTCCACAATTTTTATTTTTTTTCTTTTTGCTTGTTGAGAGAATTTTTAAATTTTGCAAAAAAAAACTTTAGCCACAGAATTCTTGCAACTCCGTGAAAGTGCAGGGGAAATATGACCACACAATTTATGCTTTTTAGTGTGTGTAGCTGTGTTGAGTTAGTTTAGAGAGATAATTGAAATTGCATCTTTCATTCTATTTGTAATATACATATCATTTCTGTAATGACTTTAAAGCTGATAAACAAGCTTCGGTCGGGGTAATATGAGACTTGTGTTAACATCTAATATATTCCCTCTACAGTACCCTATTGTCCTTTGCCACTTATATGGGGCTGCATATTAATTGTAATATCATATTTGTATATTTTTTCTGTTGTTGGGAATCAAGAGTACCTGTGTAACACTAGTTGGGGTGGAAGCATATAGGCTCTTTATCCATGGAAACGGTAGGTTCTGTAGCTTTTTAGATTCTCCATTCCTGTATATTGCCTCTCAGGCTGTTAATGAGCCAACTTCAAGCTGAACTCATGCCAGCTCAAAATTAGATCAACTAGATCGTGCTCTAATCGAAACCGATTCATGGTTTGTTACATTTGATTTCGAGCCAGCTCGGTTCAAAATTAAATCGAGCTCAATTCTGCTTGAAATCAAAATGAGCTATAGCTCAAATTTAAGTTGTTTGGATTCGTTCAAACTCAAAATTGGCTCTATCCGGCTTGAAATCGAAACAAATTGTCTCGGATTGAGTTATTTAAATTCATTTCAGCATGAAATTGGCTCTTAAATTTTTATATTTGATATTATTTAGCATCATATAATTTTTTTATAAATAAAAAATATTTTGAGTTCATCTCAAGTTAGTTCAAGCTGATTCTCATTTGGTATGGTTTGAAATCAGCCCGCAAAAAAAACAATCTAAAGTTTTGGCTTGGCTAATAATTTGACTCGTTTATTTTAATCCAATCTCCATCTAAGTTAAAATTCTAAACAAAAATCGATGTTGAAGCTAAATTCACAGCCCCAATTGTTTCACATTAGTTTCTCTCCCCAGATTATTATTTGATGCGAGGAGGCATTGGTCGCTCTTCTACCTCTTAACTTAAAATTCATAAACCATTTCCCCCCTCATTATGAATTAGCAGTAAATGAAGAATTAATGTTGTGCAGGAGTAAGTACATTTCCCAAAACGGGACATACGACAGCTCCTATAGTCGTCGCTTTCATTGTTTTAGCATGCACGTCATGAAAATGCAAGTGATACTCCATACAAGTGCATTCATATTATTTCATCTCATTTTATTTTAAAATTTTTTTACATCATATCTGAAAGTTATTTTTATCTTCCATAGTGAATATTTGATCTTGTTTTATGATAAATTTACGTACTCACACATTAATAACGTAATTTGCTTTATGACCAACTTTCTTATCATGGAACTATCATTCACGATCATTGCCCATAGCTTGATATGAATTAATAGTTAAAAGCTAAAAAAAATATTTTACTAAGTTTTAAATAAATTTCAAACTATCTATATATATCATTTTAAAAATATTCATAGCCTAACTTTGAAGATGTAAAACTTTACTCCCTCTACATAATTCGTTATATGGATCAATCAACACAACTCCAACTCAATATATGTAATCCTCTTCCAATGTGATTGAACCACCGAAAAAAAGTGAAGCTCTCTTTATTCAAACTTGCAAAAGTTTAACATAAATATCACAATTTTAACTAGTTCATTCATCTAAGATAAACCTTAAAAAAAAAACCAAACAAATCAAAGTAAAATCAAACAAAAGAATGCTTATACTAAAAAAAAATAATTTTTTTTTTTTTAATCTAAAGAGTTTAATCGTCACCCATTCACTTCACCTCTTGTTAACCACTCTTTTCTTCCATCAAAACAATTTAGATATCCCTCCCTTCCAATCAACATAAATTCTACAATCATATCAAGTTACAAAGGTTTATCAGAAATCCACCTATAAAAAAATGGCAGCGGTTTCCATAATTCGACGGCTCATGACCGCCACCGTGTAGGAAAAAAAAAACAAGTAATTACCTATTTCTCTAAATTCAAAAAGATGGAATAACCTTTTACCTTCACAGTTGCAAACGTTAAACTGTTCGAGTATATCACAGTGTTTCTAAAATAAATACAAATAATCAAAGTAGTGTGAGAATTAGTAGAATAATAAGTAAGAAAATTAGCCTTCACAGTTCTCAGTAACTCACCCTCCAACTTGGCCGGCAACAGGCCGCGAAGGCCACGGCTCGTTGACCAACAAGTTGAAAGAATCTATCCATTCCATTGTTCCAGAAAATGGAACAACCAAATCATGGTCGCCACTGTTTAAACGAGTGTTTCCTGATTGATATAACATGAAGTGGATACAAATTTTATAATGCAATCAGGAACTCTACCTGAAAACCAGAGATCGGTATCCTCTGCTTATTAAAGCATGATGATAAGGTATGCTGCTATTGATAAGTTTAACTTCGTAGTTGAAGTCAGCTTCACAGATCTGCCATTCCTTCACGGTCCCCTGTTAATCACAAGTGTTACAGAGAGTCCCCAAGTGTTGAATATTGTGGAAAGTAATTCAATTAACCAAGTGCATCGCCATTCAATTGACAAAACCATTTTTCAGTTTAATTGACATTGTACGATAGTTAAAATATATGTCGTTAAATAATATCATTATTATAAAAATTAATTTAACTTTCCTAAACTTGAATAGGTTATAATTTGATTTAAACTTGCTCTATTTACCAAAAAAAAAAAAAAAAAAAGAGTCAGAGCTAAATTTTATCAAAAGAACCAAGAATAAAGGCTAGAGATACCTCCTTGACATGGAGAGCAACTCTGGTGTCATTGTGGTTTGCCCAGTGGTAAGCAAGATAACTGGCATATGTCTGCAGAATTTTGACCAGAAATGACAATAAATAGATATTAAGCTTTTTTCAGTCAAAAAAATTTCATAAAACTAATGGAGTTGACTATCTGTGCATTTGATATCAGGAATAGGAGGAGGCGAGCGAAGTTCAGCTGGGTTTAGCTTTATCGTACATCTGTCTGCCTCAGCTGCATTAACCGTCTCTGGCCTGCCAGATTCCCCTTGGCATCTTGGAGTAAAAAAGTTATCCATCATAAGCTCGTTCATGAACTGCATACACACAAGAGATCAGCTTCAAAAGCACATAGAAACCAGGAGCGATTTTATAAGAATTATGATTCTTACACCCCTGAAAATCTTGATCTGTTCAATACAAGGAGCAGTCGTAGGTCTTTTGTAGTTTTCTCCTGGACACCTTCCCTGAATAAACTGATAATTTGATAAATGGGATTCAACAAGTTGTGCTTTCACAATGCACTTTCAAAATGTAAAAATCAGAATTGTCATTAATTATGTGCGTGTATGTGTAAGTTTAGAGGAGCATACCAAAAGAAATTCATTTTGGCATGCACTTTTGTGTGTCATTAAGTGTGCATGTGCAAGCAAGTACATGTTTAGAAAAGCATACCTGTAAAAGTTGATGGGAGATTATGCCCTTTTTATGGGCAGAAGGGACCCTCCAATTGACGTCTATCACCGTAGAAGTGATTGGGTTTCCACTTATATAACCCTATTACCATTCCGAAAACACAACATGAAATCTAACATACATAGCCTCATTATCATAATCTCTCTCTTTACACAAATCTAAGCATTACTACAAAACATTTTCAATAATCAATCATGCATAGCACACAATTCTTATGTATTTACGTTCTAACACCCAAACTTTCATATATTTACGTGCATAGCGCTCAAATCTTTTATTTCACATAGAAATACCACTATTACCTATAGGTTGATCACATCAACATGTTATGAATGTAAATATGGAAGTTTATTGGGTGTTAGATATGTAAATGCATAAGAATTGCATGCATGTTATGTATGAAAATTCCCCCAAAAAATAATATATAGTGCCGAGGACCTTCCATTAAACCTTAATCTACATCATTCAACAAAGTGGACCATCTGTTAATGCTAGCTTTACATGCTTCACGTGAGAGTCTAATTCTATGGGTAGCATTTTACCTTCCCTCCCAAGGTCCTCTCTTTTTGCTTGATCATGATCCCTAGGGATAGATTTTGAGTTTGGGTGTGGTGGGGGGTTTTAGACTATAAGAAAACTGGCATAATTAGCATAACTCTATCCTTCGAATTTTTTTTATATTATTATTAGAAATTAGTGACAATAGAATTAAAATACTCTATCTTAATATTGTACAAAAATCAGCACATAACTAGAAAAAAAATTTTCACAAAAAGACAAGATTTAATATAAAAAACACATGATAAGTTATAAAGTTCGACTTTCCCCTAATTGGAGAAAACAAAATTAAAAGTATAAAATATTGGCTTGACCTCCTATGAGTATAATGTTAGTACTAAAAATGTATTAAGGAGGGTGACGAACGTCGATATTAGTCAATGGCCGGCAAAAGTAGCAAGTCAAGAAAGGCCATTGACGTTAGTTTATGGAAAAACATGTGTTCGAGTGACTATAAACATCAACATTTGTCGGTGGAAGGCAACAAAGATTTTGGTAGATGATAGTTGGACAACAATAAAGAGATGACAGTCGAGCGGTTATTGGGTAATAATGGCAATTAGGCAATGATGTTCTGACAACTACAGTCAAATGATGGCGATCAGAATGTAATGATTGCTTGGTTGAGTTATGACTATCAAAATATAATGGTCGTATATGAAGGTTACCAACATCTATTTATAAGTAGAGTTCTAGGATTCTTTATCATTATAAACCATCTCCAATTTTAGGTCCACAATTAATGTTGAATGAAAATTTATTTATAGTTAATTAGAATGAAATTTTTTTTTATTTAAGCCAAAATTTTGAAATACACCATTGAATGACATGTGTTGATAATTAATTGATTGTATTAACTTATTTAACCATTTAAGTCCATTAATAATATCATATTTAGGTGCTCTTGGACTCATTGGATGTCGACATGCAGCCCTTGACTATCAGCACATAAGATGGAGGCTATTTTGTCCCTCAAATGTCATGAAATTTAAATACACTCTTTGGTGTTTGATTAATGATCATTTGAAGTTAGATCAAGACATATTTTATGTTGTTGGATTCATTTTATTGAAATATTCATTTTGAATTTAAACTAGTTAAAAATAGAAGTTTGGATGCTGCTAAAGTCCAGATGGAAAGGTTTTTTACTCACATGAGTAAATCAAATTTTATGCTTGATTGGTGATTTTTTTTTTATGTTATACCAGTTGCCTTTTATTTTTAGACATCAATCAATCAAAAAATAATTTGGTTCATAGAATTGGTAGAGTGAAATCGCAATTTCAGAAAAATTATAAGGCTCAATTACTCCCTATACATCAATTTATGGCAAGTTATGTCAATTGACAAACACAGGACACCCCTCTTGAGCACACGGCTAAAATTTTAGTGCATTTTCTTTGTTAATTATGAAATAATTTTTAATAATGCTTTTTCATTTTTTTTTCTTTTCTTTTATTGTCATAATTTCCTTTATAAATTGCTAAAAAAATCTTAGAAAAATTCCAAAAATTATAAAAATTGCAACAAAAAAATTATGCTCTTCTTTCTCCCCTTAGTTATACAAGCCCCAAGGAATAAGATGTGAAATCATAATTTCATTTTCCACCGGCCAAACTTCCATGTACAAGCTCCAAAATAATAAAGTATGATGGACATAACTCGTGTCAATCAAACACCGCTGATTGGTTCCAATTTTGGCTACCCACAGCCTATCACAACAACCATGATCATTGATTATGTGTGCATTAGTGCATTATGAAAATGTGGCAATCTTTCGATCTAATGCCCACTTCTCCATATTCACAAAGTTCCCTCCAATGATCTTTTGCATTGCATGCATGTGTATCACCAATTGTGGACAACCAACCTCAATAGGCACGTCGGCCAACAAAAATACACCAATTAGCATATTCATTCCACCTAACTCAACATTTTTCCTTTAATCATTAAAATACTTTTATTCCCTCCCTTCCTCATGCTAATTCAATTTGAATAATTTTAAACTTATTATAAGAGAATATATGTGTCATTTTTATATCTATAATAAGATAAAATATGTACCTTGACGTTTATTATCATCAAACTAAGAACTGCTGGAATAATTTTGAAATTACAAGTAAGAAAATATTTTACCTTCAGCTACGCTGTAAGCCGCAATTGGTACCAGCTTGCCACCGTATGAATTGCCCCCAACATAGAAAGGATTTGAGAGAAAAAGCGGGTGATCCAAAAACCACTGAAAATGATTTTCAAAAATTATGAAAGGAACTAATCAAGAATTTCAATTTTTAATAATATTGAACATATAGAGTTGTGTTAGATAAAAAAAAATTTGAAATATTTTACGCACACACCTTCCTAAGAAAATTGTAGATTTCTTTTGAAGATCTAATGTCATCTCCGTTATACTTTTCAACATTTCTTAAGAATGAGAATCCAGAAAAGGCAGGCCTGTCTAAGAAGATAATGTTGGAGATCTGAAAGTTTGTCCAAGTATAAGGATTATATACTAACGTAGGTAGAATTCCATCATAGGGGGCAATCTTGAATCGAATTGGGCCTACAATACATCCAAAAAAAATCACATAACCCAGAACAAATAGCCAAAAGGGAATTGTAAAAGTTCAAAAAAAAAAAAAAAAATCAATTATATCTTCAATTATATCTAATTCTGTAAAAGTTCAAAAAAAAAAAAAAAAATCAATTATATCTAATTCTTCGACCATGATCGGTATAGGATAGGGCAAGACAAAACACCAAATCAACATAAATTCATGCTCATGTGCATTTAACCATTAAGAAAGAATCTGAAACTTCTTCAGCTTGCATGCATCTCATCCGAATGATCCAAACCAACAAAATATAACAGTGGTCTAGAAGCCATCAAAACCTGCAGCATTATGGGAGTAAGATTAAAGTTAGGTTGGATATACAACTGGTTAAACCCATTTTTAACCCAAAAAACTTAAGTCTAACAAATTAAGATCAACTCATTGGCAATTTAATAGAATCATATATATTTTTAGTGATATGATATATAACTAAACCAAATATTTTAATTTTTAAAATTTTAAAGCAGAATGGGGCACTCACAAGAAAATAAGCAGTGAATGTGAGAAGCAAGATGCAAAATCAAACAACTTGCTCCTCTATGCATAGACTAACAAAGCAAGAATAAGGAAATTTAAACATTTAGAGGAAGTGATATTGGTATGTTAAAAGTATAATCATATAATTTGGAGACATTCTGAATGCAGGAAATCAAATCCATCCTATATATATATATTAGAGTTTAGGGTTCACTCATGCAAATTTAATGAACCCCAAGGTTTTAAGTCCAAGATGATCAGCAAATCCTTGAATAAATCTTGAAAGATTTATTACCAAGAGCATGCAAGTGATGAGATTAACTAACTATTTAGGAATGAGATTCATTGGAAAAATGAAATTAATCCCGCAAGCATTGAAAAGATGATCGAACATATAAAAGTATAAAAATTTTATCAATTTCTCTACACATAGCGTAAACGGACGTGCAGTCGGGGCCTCCTGTGAGCCATAGAATAAGAGGGTCCTCTCTAGGGTTTCTCTCTGATTCTACAAAGTAGTAGAAGAGATTTGCTTTCGTTACTTCATCCAAGCTCACATATCTTCGCACCAATACATATATCAATATAATTGCTTGCATTGTATGAAATCAAGAGTACAACGGAAAAAAAATGAAAGAATAAAAGGTTGAAGAGATAATGATTGTTTGAGGCTAACCCTGTTTTGAGATGGAAGTGGAGTACGTCGTTGAAGCCAAGGAGATGAGTAATGGTGGCCGCAGAGAGACTGCAGAGCCATAGACTTCTTGAGAGAGACAGGGGAAGGAGAAGCCGCAAGTGGCAGAATAGATTCATAGCCATGCTTCCCCGGAAGAGAGATGATCAGAAAGAAAGGAAGAAAGAGAGAGGGCAGTGAAGATGGTGCACTAGGGTTTCCAAAAAGAGAAAGAAAGAGAAAGAGAGGGCAATAAAGATTGAGTACTACTTTCCAAAAAGGGAAAGAAAGTACAATTCAATCGTACGACGGTCCAATTAGAATAAGCGGCACGCTTAATAGTTTTTTTATTTTTTATATTCATGCCACTATTTATATATAAATATATATATGTAAAGTAGGATTCAAAAATCTAGAACATGAAGGTTCACCCTGTCGACCACTCTGTCGGCCACTCCAGTCGACTGGCTACCAAGAGCAGGCCACATAGAAGGTAGAAGGCCAACGACCTGGCACCGATGGACCTCCAAAGTCTTAGGACAACGGATCCAATCAAGGGAAGACCAGGATAAGTCGTTTCACTCCCCCTTAAACAAGAGGCATAAGTGTGATATTTATTTCTCACGTTTTCTTTTTATAAATAGTGGACCCTTTGCATATAAAAAGCGATCTCTATGCAGTCTCTCTCACCCCCCATGTAGGGAGCTTGCTTCCCTTCTCCTGCACTTGTAAGTTGATCTTGTGTGGAATAATATAGGCCCTTAAGTGAGGGGAGACACCCTCTTTGGGCCCCTATAGGGCAAATATCTCTTTTTATATCCCTCGCTATTTCTCCTTTCTTCGGATTTAGCACTTCATCCCTTGGGCACGATCCAAATGACAGATTTTGATTCAATTTTCTAAAATATTCGGTAAGCGTGGAGCGTGCTGCCAAAAAGAAAATGAACATTCTAGGCTGGAGACAGCCCAACACAGAGAAACAAAAAGAAGAAAAAATAAAAGAAGAAGACGAGAATAAAGACAAAAAAAAACCAAAGAAAAAGGGATAAGCCATGATAAGACATAAAATAAGAGATAAGATGTGAAAAGGCAAAAGACTGAAGATAATGCAAAAAAAAAAATGATGAACAAGGGAACAAAATAAGTAAGAATAAAGAGAAGGAAGAGCCCATCTCACATTACAAAGGGAATAAGATCCCGCACATAGAAATAAAAAAGAAAAGAACACCTTTTTTCTTTTCTTTATGTTCTGAAAAGAAAAAAAATAAAAAAGAAAGAAGACAAAAGACAATCTCTCTCTTCATAAGAAAACAAAAAAATCATTTCATTTAAGCCTCTCACCTGTAATGAGCACTCTAAACTCTCTCTCTCTTCACTTAAGTCTCTTCTCAAGATAAGGATTCCAAAAATTACTCTCTCTTCAAGCCTCCTCTCCAGGATGAGCATTTGATGATCTCTCCCTCTCCATTTAAGACTCTGCTTTGGTATGAGCAAGCAAAACCTTTCTTCACACTCACCTCAGAAAAACTCCAAAAAAACACATGGATTCTCGACTTCGAAAAAGCTATGAAGTTAGTTCCTTGCCAAAAAATGATAATATCCACAAAAAGTATGACATAAATCACCTCATTTAGCAAGTCTCAGTGTTATCCCTTGGAGGGTAGCGACAAAATCCACCTAAAACCTAGCGAAAGATGTGGCTCGCTAGAGGCGATACTTCGACGAGAGCAAAAGAGACGGCGCAAGGAGCGGGACTTGAGTTGGAAAATTTTCTATCTAAAACTTAAAAGAAAACTTGACTGATAATACTCTCCAAAAATATGGACACTGACTGATAATCTTTTTTCAAAATTTTTTTACTAACGAAAGGGCTAAAAAAGGAATGTTAGAAAATAAGTCAAACTAAAAGCTTATGAAATCATGCTTTCTGTATCCATTCTTATCGTAGCCTTGCCTCCATAAACTTAGGGTCTTTATGTATAGCCCAAAAAAATAGGTTCCTCGAACTAAGGGAGTCGTCGCCGCTAAAGTTGTCGCCATTGGAGTCATGATAACAACATTACATTCGACAGACCATCCACCCCTCCCAGCCGACCACTCTTGGTAGACCACAAGAAGGAACGGGTCAGCCATCACCACCTGACCGGCTAGTCTCGACAAACCATAGAAAGCATCCGATCATCTTGATCGGTCATCCCAGCAGCCTACTTGGGCCAACCGACTCAACCAATTAGCCATCATGGTCTACCAACCCAACCAGCCACATGATGGTTCACCCCGTCGGACAATCTACTCTTCCGCCACCATGGCTCTGCCACAGAGAAGTTAGACAGTCGATCACCTCCAATCAGCCGGTACCTAGGCTGGCCACCAATGACCACATGGGTCAACCACTTGCCATTGATGAGCCTCCCAAGTCTCAGAATAACGTATCCAAACAAAAAAAAATGTATAGAATGCCCCTTTTCGCTCCCTTGAAAGTAGAGGCATAAATGTAATATACATTTCCCCCTCTTTCCC